GTTTGCCCCTCGTAAAATGGACCTAACTGAGGGGGTCCTGTTGTCTATACCTGTAAGACCCGTCTTGGACTGTGTTCCGTTCCTCTAAATAAACCTTCTGCTTTACTGGCTGGCTGAGAGTCATGGTGAATCGCAGAAAGCCGGGGGTGCAGGGCCTTGTCTCCCCCAAACTCCGTGACAATCTCCCTCTCCTCCCAGAGCCGTGGATGGAACCCAGGAGTCCTGGCTCCCATCATCCCCCGGCTCTGACCACTAGACTCCATTCTCCTCCCAGAGCCAGGGATAGAACCCAGTAGTCCTGGCTCCCTGCCCCCTGTCCCACCTCTATTACTGCTTTTTCCAGTCACACAATAATATTTGAACTCTAGCAGCTCACACCTCTTATCATATTGTACATTCTGCAGACGCTAATCACTGACCCTGAGCTGAGATGCAGCTACCTCCAGGCAGTGCAGCTGGGGAACAGCCACACAGCGACACTGCCCAGGGGTTGTTCACCCAGAGCTGAGATGCGTCTGCTTCTGGGGTGGGGTGGCTGGGAACAGCGCACTGGAACAACAGTAGATGTCCTGTAAGGATGGCTAGCGAATCCTGACTCCAATGGGAAGAGCCGGGTGTGTGTGGAGGCCTGACTGACAGGGAGCGGGTGCGCGTGTCAGGGTGAGGGCTGGGGCGAGACGTGAGATTTCAAGACCGGAAGGGGAAGTAAGTGTGTGAATCTGGCCCTAGATTGTCTTGCACAACCTGGCTCCAGTGGCTGGAGATGTCAGTGCCATTGATGCAAGAGGGAGATTGTCACAGATACAGGCAGTTCCCACAGACATCCGGCTTCCGGCCCCACCGCGGGCAGGGAGCGGGGGGAACTGGCTATCAGTGGGGGGAATGGGGCATGGGGCCTTTCCCGTCTAGGGGGCACCGGCTATGATCTGCCCCAGGGTGGGGCACTGGATGGCTCTGGGGGGTGGGAGTGGAATCCAGGGTCCTTCCCCTCTAGGGTCTCTCAGCAGGGGAGACGCCAGCAGATCGGAGCCGGTCCATTGAGCGCAGGTGTTTGTTTTCTGTCTCTCGGTTCCTCAAACGCCTCCCAGGTCCTGGGTCACTGAGTCTGGGGATTCCCTTGTGATGAGACCAGGGTTTTCGGCTGGATAAGGAGAGGAGGCTTTCATGGAGGCTGTTTACATAGGGACCTGTTACCAGGGCTGAGATGTGGCTGCTTCTGGGGTGAGGCGCGGGAGCTTTTTATACAAGGACTCCTTGCCCAGTGTTGAGATACACAAGGGCTTGGGAAAAACCTAGAGCTAAAAGAAACACAGCGCCCCCTAGGGGCATTGGGACCAGCCCTGTGGGCCGGGCCCTCCCGCGTCTCACAGTCCAGCCAGACTCTGGCCCGCTCTGCCCCAGGCCAGTGGCACGTCAGCTCTGCCCCCCTGCGTGTGGGTCCCAGCGGCTGTGCTGGGAAGCTGGTTGCTGAGCGGATCTTGCACAACAGGAAGTTTCCAGTCGGTGAGTTTCTGGTTTCAGAATCTTTCTAATTAGCTGTCTGGGAGGTTTCCCTCAGTTGCTGTTAAACAGATGCCCCACGTGGAGGTGGCTGCATCTCAGTGCCAGCAGGGCAAGGGTTCCTTATGTAAACAGCCCCCGCACTCCACCTTAGAGGTGGCGGCATCTCAGCACTGGGCAAGGGGTCTCTGTATAAATAGCCCCCACAGTCCACCCCAGAGGCGGCCTCATCTCAGCGCTGGGTGAGGGATCTTTGTGCATTGTATTGAGCTCAGTGTTTGACTCGTGTGTTTTTCCTGGGTCTTGGGAATTACCAGGTTGAGATGCAGGAAAAACTGGGAAACCTTGGAACTGCCAGGTCGAGATCGAAACCTGACATGGCTGTTAACATGGAGATCATGGGAACTGGGGTCCGTCTCCTACTGATATGGGAGGGCAAGGGTTACTTACCAGTTATCTATCTTAATAATTTAAATGTCTGTTTTTTTCTATGTCCTGAATATATTTTAAAACATGGGAGGTGGGGAGGGTGGGGAATTGAAAAATGTGGGATATTTTTTGTGAAAAATTCCTAGCCAGTGAATTTTTTCCAGTGATCATTAGTTTTAAATGGCCAAGATCTCTGTGAAACCTTTGTAAAAAACAGAAAAACCTGTGATTGGTTTTTAGGAAATGGAACATTTCCACAAAACTTTTATTTTAAAAACAACCTGTGACGAAGTGGGGGATTTCGTGAACCCACACCCCCAGCCCAGGGTCTGTACCCCATCCCACATCCCAACCTCCTGCCTCAGCCCAGAGCCCCCTCCCTACTCTGAACCCCTCGGCTCCACACCCCAGTCCGGAGCCCCCTCCTGCACCCAAAACCCCTCAACCCTGGTCCAAGGCCAAAACCTGCACCCCCAGCCAGGGCCCTCACTCCCTCCTGCATCCCATCCCACTGTCTCAGCCCAGAGCCCCCTCCCGCACCTGAACACCTCATTTATGGCCCCACCCAAATTTTTGCACCCGCAGCTGGAACCCTCACCCCCTCCCGCACCCCAACCCCCTGAGCCAGTCCGGTGAAAATGAGCAAGTGACAAAGGAGGGGGGATGGAGTGAGAGGAGGCGGGGCCAGGGAGAAGGGGCGGGGCCGGGCAAGCGTGTTTGGTTTTGTGCGAGTAGGAAGTTGGGAACCCTAACCAGGAGAGGGGTCTCAGCTCAGTGTGGAGGGAGCCTGGGATGGGCCCCGTGAAGTCATCAACCAGCTGAATGTGTTGGAGCTGCCCAGTCAGACTCCCAGCCAGCGAGGGGACCATGTCCACATGACGGAGCCACTGTGCCAGGGAGACATTCAGGCGACCACAGAAATTCCAGGTGGAAGTGACGAATCTGTTGCTTCCTGGACTGCCCACTTTGGGCTGCCCTGTGGGCCAAAGCGCGGAGCCCAGAGCAGTATCGTGCCCCTGGGTGCCCTGCAGGCCACCCGGACGATTTAAAAGGGCCCAGGGCTCCCTGGTGGGTCTCTCCTTAGAGACCGGAGCTGGCCCCTCGCTGGAATCAATCCCCCTTTCTGACCAGCTAACCCCTGCCCGGCAGGCAGAGAGCAGAGGAGCTGCGCCCTCACCAGCAGCTGTTCCCCAACTGGCCTGGGCTCCCTAACCGAGCTCTCCACGGTGGAAGGGGGGACAGAAAATAACCCTCCCATCAGCTGTTCCCCATTCACAGTGATGGGGAAAACAGCCCAGGGCCTGGAGAGCTCAGAGACACGCTGGCACTAGGGGTGACCCAGCCGCCCACCAGCCCTGGGCCTCTCCCGTGGGGCTCGTCCCAAAGAAAGATGGGCTGATCCGATTCTGTGTGGACTGTGGGAAGCTCAAGGCCATCGGCGTGTCCGATGCCTACCCCATGCCTAGGCCTGACGAGACCCTAAAGAATTTTGGGGGCGCCCGGTACCTCATTACTATGGATCTCACCAAGGGCGACTGACAGGTGCCTTTGGACCCAGATGCCAGGTTGAAATCTGCCTTCATCACCCCATGGGGCTCTGTGAGTTCCTGGTCCTGCCTTTCGGCCTCAAGGGGGCACCTGCCACCTTCCAGCGCCTGGTGGGTCAGTTACTGTGGGGGGTGGATGACTTTGCCCGGGTGGGCATTGATGGTATCTGTGTTGTTAGCCAGACCTGGGGCGGGAGGAATCTGTGTCCCAGGTGAAGAGGGGTCTGGGCTGTCTCCGGGAGGCAGGACTCACTATCAAAGCTGGAGAGGGAAAGGTGAGGATGGCGGAGGTGTCGTACCAGGGCCATAAGATGGGAAGCGGCTGCCTAAAGCCCAAGCCAGCCATGGTGCAGGCGATCAGAGATTGGCCCATTCCTCAAACCAAGACACAGGCCCAGGCTGTTATAGGGGCAGCAGGGCCGTGCGGGCGGTTTGTGTCCCGCTTTAGCTCCCTAGAAGCTCCCATCACGGAGCTGTGTATGAAGGGCGAGCCGGACACAGTGATCTGGACAGAGCAGCGCGGGGTGGGGGAGAGCTCTCTGTGCGCAGAAGGAGTCTCTACTCCAGGCCCCGGTGCTGGGAAAGCCAGACTTGGACAAACCCTTTCTGGTGTTCACAGACACCTCAGACACGGGGCCGGGCAGGTGGCTGCTGCAGGCCGATGCAAAGGGGCAGAGACAGCCCGTCATGTACCTGAGCAGGAAGCTGCTCCCAGAGAGCAGAGCTATGTGGCGATATCGAGGCAATGCCTGGCCGTGGGGTGGGCCATTAAAAAGCTGCAGCCATAAATAATTGGGCATCACTTTGCTGTGTACACTGACCGCTCACACCGACAGCCTGCACCAAATGAAAGGGGCTAATGCCAAGCTCCTGAGATGGAGTCTGAGCCTCCAGGATTACGAGATGGAGGTGGGCCATGGGAATGGGAGTGTGAATGTTCTAGCCGAGGCTTTGTCCCAGAGAGGAGAACCTGAACCTCCCTGGGTCACTGGCTGAAGTGACCCCACTCAGTTCAAATTCAAAGTGGGGAGAAATGTGAAGAAGTGGGGGATTTTGTTAGTGTTTTGCATGAATACTGTCT